GGGAATTACTTGGAGGCAGAGATGAGGAGACGAGGGGGGGGACCCACTCCCAGAGGGGCAGTGACTGGGAGGACATGGGGCTGTGAGGCAGAGGGGAGAATTCAGGGAGGAGACGATCTGATTATAGAGGATGGAGGAGTTGTATGATCTCCACACTACTCCCTTATCATTCTCCTTTGTATGTGACCCGCCTCCTCCACTCAGTGGCCCCTTCCTGCCTGGCACCTGTGTGGTGGGGAGTGATCTGTCCCATCACATACTGGCCTCTCAGGTGACCCTTGCTGCTCATACACAGACACGCTCTGCTTTAGTGACATACAACTGAATGTGAGAGGGAAGCTGCATGGGCCCCCCTGGATCATGGGCAGGGTTGTGATTGCAACCCCTGCTTCTACGCCAGTGGCTGAGTGTCACCATAGTGGGGTGTGTGGGGTTATCAGCAATCTTTTTTTTTTCACACTTATTGCTTATATGGTGATGATCACTGTATAAACAGTAGTTTTAGCTGTCATAGAATGGGTTTACCATTCATGAACAGCTTGTTTATATTTGGGATGTGTTTTTGGCTGCAGCTAACCACATGGTACATGTAGCCAGGTACCATGTGATTGCTGTAGAACAATCAGATGACAACAGTAAGTAAGCTGTTCATGAATGTAAAGCAATTCCTGACAGTTTGTTTACATTGCTATCCAGTATGATAGCAATGCCAGTAACAGTGATCTGCTGAGTCCATCAGACGCAGCAGAGGCGCACTGCGAGCTCCTGAACCGGACTGAAACTGCATGTGTTGTCACGCCAGGTCTGCTTGCCAATTTTTCAGTTTACCTAATTGGAAGGTTCATAGAGCCTTATGGACAGGCGGGTGTAAATGGACTTTTGTCTTTTTACACCTGCCTACCTCTGGGTCCAATCCAATCTGCTAAAAAAGGCAAAGGACTACGTACTCACAGGAATCTGCCCTATGGGAAAGGGGCCTTACACAGGCATGGTCCACTATTTTCTCCATAAGGAAACCTGCTCTGAGTAATTCTATGCAGCTATTGTTGGAGTGCATGTAGACATGAAGTGGCTGCACAGTGGCTGCAGGTGATCAGTATCACTGAGATGCAACAAAGAATAAAGGAAAGGTGGAGATAAGTGTATTATTCACTTTTAATGTTAAAAAAAAAACTACTTTAGTAAGAAATACAGGGTTCAAAATAGCCAAACATGAAAACTTTCAACAGCATGCTGTAGTAATTGCTAATGGTAATATGGTAATTGGTACTAAAAGCGCCTATATGTCGTCAGCCTAAAGTTTCCTTCATGGGGCTTTTAAAAAAGGGCACTCAGCATCCATTCTGCTTGCTTCCAGGGGGTGTTTTAAACTCATTGATTCCATAAATGCTAGCTCTCAGCAAAAGTGTTTGCGTTGTCCCGCCGTGTCCTGTCTTGAAAGCTGCCTGCAATGTCTGGCAGACATCAGACTCTGCAGGCTTGTTGACTTTCATTGCTTCACCCTGCTTGCCTAGCAATTGAGAATAGAATGCAGAGTGCATTTGAAAACAGACAGCAGAATGCTGGGAGAAGACCCTCTCACTTGACATCTAACGTGGTGTGAAATTGATGGCATAAAAATCTGATGTGTGACCCTAGCTTGGTCAGTGCTACAAATAGAAACATCATTTAAGGCTGCAAATGTGTTCTAGTTTATGGTAAAATGTTCACAGCCCCACTCCTTTCAAACACTAGAAAAAGATAGCTTTTTGTTAAATATATTAATTTTTTTTTTAAAAATGAAAAAGATGTTAACAAGTAAAAATAGAACTCATCGTATCTACAGTATGTATGCCAGATAGGGTTTCTAACGGCTAGTATTAACAATTTTTTTGACATTGCAATAGATTGCATTATCTGTGGAATAGTTGGGCTATTGGAATTCCTGCTACATGCAGAATGTTAGATGGAAAACGTATGAACAAGGCTTATTTTGTTATATTTGCGCACAATTTCAGCAAATGTGCTATATTGCCAAGCATGGGTTTGTGCTCAGCGGGAATAACAGCTAAAACTAGAGGAACTCTGTAAGACTCAGTCTTCTACTTGCGATTCTGATCTCCCGCAGCTGGGATATGGGCAGATTCACAAGATATACTTCAGGGTAGAGGAACAGTACACATATAGTGCAAAAAAAGAGTACAGTCCAATGAACAATTGCACATAATCCCTACCCTAGATAAAGGACATTAAATACAACATTTTACCAATAGAATAAGACCCAAGTGTTTAATTGGCTGAAGACTATGTTGTAGAAGATAATATACTTGTGGACAATAAAATTAAACCCCTCCACTTCCCCACAGGGCAATCAGAACAATAGCATGCTCATTAGGCCTCAGCAGTACTAACTGCACTGGGGCCAAAGAATCACGGGAAGGCCAGGCGCATTCGAGAAGTAAGAGAACCAGGGAGAGAGAAGAGGAGAAAGAACGAGGGGGGGGGGGGGGAGTAAAAAATAGACAGAGGAAGGTCAAGTCTCAGACTCACAAGAGATGCAGCAGGGCTGCATACAAGATGGCAACAGCTTGCAGAGATGCCGACTTCAGTGATGAATCCCAGTCAGCATCTGAAGACCTGGTAAGAGGTATCCAGACACTAAACCACCTTCTCATATCAGTGGACGTAGCAGCAGACATAAGAAACACTGCCATCACCAAGATCAAAGCAGACCTGCTGGCATTCTCAGAGAGGATGGCTTGCACAGAGTGGGTGGACAATCGGAGGGACAGGGCTATCACAAGACTGGGAACAGCCTCTGCTTCACAAGCCAACCACTTAATCCTTATTAACAGACACTTCAAGGACCTGGACAAGAGGGGCCAGAGACAAAACATACAAGTGAGAGTTATACCGGAGTCAGTGAATCCTGATCAAATTAGACAAACTTTACAAACAGTGTTTAATGATTTGCTTGAGCAACCAAAAGATACCGCTATCAAGTTTGAATAAGCACACAGGGCCCTGAGACCGCATTCAGTGGACTCCGCTCCACCTAGAGAAATAATATGTTGTCTTCAAAGCTTTACACTGAAGCAGGAGATACTGGCTAAAGCCAGGAAAAATGCGCTTACCGCCTTCAATGATCATACCGCATCTCTTTTCATAGACCTTTCCCCAATAGCTTTACAAAATAGAAGAGCTCTGCATTGTTTACTAGATCTTCTCAGGAATAAAGGTACAGATGGCACTTCACGTTTGCTTTGAACAGACCTTTTGTGAAAACCTTCCTTTTCCTCTGTTAGACCTACCAGAGTGGTATCTTGCGTTTCGTTTACCCCACTTGCCAATTCTCCTTCTCATACACCTTAATCTTCTCCTGCAAAGGCACCATCAAAAAAGGGAAATATGGCAGGCACCACAGAGTTGACTCTGGCCTCTCCTCCTTCCCTACCAAGCAATCCAGTTCTCAGGATCCCACTTGAGTACACACCAACTTATTTGTATCTGCCTGCTACATATTTTCCAGTTTTATATTACTGGTTCATGCTCTTAGTTTGCCTAGTTCTGAATTTACATGTCTGAATTAAATGTTCGACACTGAAAGTTTCACCATACTGTCAGCTTATCTTACTTTTTTTTTTTAATAAATTTACCTGTATGGTGATCTGATAATGCTGGCATAGCTGCTGGGACTTCCTATGCCTCACTGTATCCGGCACTGGCTAGACAGACATTTTAACTTTTCTTTTGCTGTATGCTCATCACCAGTAACTTGAACTTGGCATCACCTCACTTCAGCGTTTAATATGACGGTGGTGAACGTTATTGCTTTGTGTGTATCCACTGTCCGGTTATTGGCAACTGCTTGTCGCATTAAACATACCCAGTACTCTGAGCTGGATTATAATAATACAGTATATGTATATATTTTTTTTATCTCACTATTACATGACTTGCCATATTCTTTTGCTCATGGATGAAACAAAATAGCCTATTATGTTATTTTATCAATGTTTATACACATCCAACTAGCATGATATTTCTTATTTTACAGTATATTGACACGACCTTAATCTATGACTGATTAGTTGTGTCTAAAAGGCCCTTGGAAATATTGCTACCTTTATACTTACACATGCCCATCAATGCATTAATTACATTGGATTTAATAGACGTATAGTCAATTAAGTTTTTTTACATTGTCATCAGACCTGGCTGGATTTTTGTTATATTGAAAATGCATGTTGGTTTCTCACTAACTGCAGTATTGGTTAGTAAAAGTAATATTAGTATTCAAGGCTGTGAATTTATTTTTTAATTTTAGCAAACTTTTTGGCTGGATACAAGTGGCTGGGAGAGATATCTGTTGTCACTATAAGGTTGATATCATTGTCTGCCCCTCATTATTCCTTCAGACCCTTTATTGAAGGTTTAATGTTATACATAAGAGACCCCTGCCATTACATGCTGATATAACATTTCTTTAGTTGCTTGGGGGCTGTGGATCCTATGTGCTTTTCTCTAGGAGATTTTAATTCATTTTTTAGTGAATTGTACTCCATTCAGCTCCTCTAACCCCACCCCACCCCTGTGATATCTTTTTTGCTTTCTTAATTTGTTTATTCAAACTCACATGTGTGAGTATACCTCCTTCTTGGTTATTGGAGGTCAATTACTAGTTACTCTGAACCCCTCAGAGGGTCTTTGTTTCTTTGTCTTTGGATATTTTTTCTTGTCTTTTCCAGAATATAGACTATTTGTTTATTATATAGACATTGCATTGTCTTTTCCTTCCTCCTTTTCTGTAATAGGTTTGGCAGGCTGAGAACATTATCGCTGACCATGTCATACTCCTTGGGACAGGTTCCCTTTCTAATCTTCCACAATGCCAAAGGTTTAAATGAATATCGCTATTGTGGGAACTTAGAAAGGTGAAACCTTTATTTGTGTTCCTTCAAGCAACACATTTTAAGACTAGCTCCATACCAAAACTGTCAAGTAGGCATTTTTCCCCAAGTACACTATATTGCCAAACGTATTGGGACACCCCTCCAAATCATTGGATTCAGGTGTTCCAATCACCTCCATGGCCACAGGTGTATAAAATAAAGCACCTAGGCATGCATACTGCTTCTACAAACATTTGTGAAAGAATGGGTCGCTCTCAGGAACTCAGTAAATTCAAGTGTGGTATCGTGATAGGTTGCCACCTGTGCAATAAATCCATCCGTGAAATTTCCTTACTACTAAATATTCCCCAGTCAACTGTTAGTGGTATTATAACAAAGTGAAAGCAACTGGGAACAACAGCAACTCAGCCACGAAGTGGTAGGCCATGTAAAATGACAGAGCGGGGTCAGCGCATGCTGAAGCACACAGTGCGTAGAAGTCACCAACTGTCTGCAGAATCAATAGCTAAAGACCTCTAAACTTTGTGTGGCCTTCAGATTAGCACACCAACAGTGCATGGAATGGAATGGGTTTCCATGGCCGAGAAGCTGCATCCAAGCATCACCTAGTGCAATGCAAAGCTTCGGATGCAGTCATGTAAAGCACACCACGATTTGACTCTAGAGCAGCAGTGAAGACATGTTCTCTGGAGTGACAAATCACGCTTCTTTGTCTGGCAATCCAAATGGGTTAGGCGGTTTCCAGGAGAATGATACTTGCCTGATTGCACTGTGTCAAGTGTAAAGTTTGGTGGAGGGGGGATTATGGTGTGGGGTTGCTTTTCAGGGGTTGGGCTTGGCCCCTTTGTTTCAGTGAAGGGAACACTTAAAGCATCAGCATACCAAGAAATTTTGGACAATTTCATGCTTCCAGCTTTGTAGGAACAGTTTGGTGATGGCCCCTTCCTGTTCTAGCATGACCACTCTCCAGTGCACAAAGCAAGGTCCATGGATGAGTGAGTTTGGGATGGAGGAACTTGACTGGCCTGCACAGAGTCCTGACCTCAGCCCGATAGAATATTTATGGGATGAATTAGAGTGGAGACTGCGAGCCAGGCCTTCTTGTCTGACATCAGTGCCTGACCTCACAATGCGCTTCTGGAAGAATTTTCAAACATGCCCTTAGACACACTCTTAAACCTTGTGGACAGCCTTCTCAGAAGAGTTGAATCTATTATAGCTGCAAAGGGTGGGCCAACTTAATAATGAACCCTCTGGACTACAACTGGGATGCCATTAAAGTTAATGCCATGTGAGTGTAAAAGCAGGCATCCCAATACTTTTGGCAATATAGTGTATATCATGCACAAATCCAACCTCAAAAAAAAGGTGTGTCCATTCACACAGCAAGGGACATGGGATTGGAAGTTAAGTACCACCTGATAGACCCAGAGGGAAGATACATTTTCCTTAAAAGAAAATTGAGAGGCTTTCCCTATACATTAGCAAATGTTTTCTTACCAAATACTGCACATGATTCTTTCTGCCACCACGTAGTGGAGAAACTGAAAGGTTTCGTGTCTGGCTGTTTAATTTTGTGAGGGGATTTCAGTGTAGTGTTGAATCCTCTTCAAGACAACTAAAATGGTAAATTTAGTATAACCTTTCAAATGCTGAAAAAACTCAAAACCCTTTTGATTTTTTTACACTGGTGGACACATGGCGTACAGTTAATCCCTCTGGTGGAGATTTTACATAATTTCATTTCTTGACAAACTCTCTGGTATTAATTATGTGTTTATCTCCCAGAGAGACTTACCACTCTTGAGGGATGCCAATAATGGTGTCAATATGTTTTCGAACCATGCATCAGTGTCCACGCCTTTCCTGCTTCCTGGCACCCAACCTAAACCTAGCAACTGGAGGCTAAACTTCTCACTTTTAACAGACCCTACACTGCTCCAACAAATTTCAGACTTTATCAAGCTCAATTTCCTCCAGAATTTGTCCAATGACCTCTCTCCCTTAAAGGTGTGGGAGGCGCATAAATGTGTTTTTAAGTAGAGAACACATTGGCCTGGGAACCAAACAGAAAAAAAAGAGTCAGATGAAGAGATCTCAGATCTAGTGCCTAAAATAGCTTGTCTAGAAGTACAACATAAACGATCAGTTGCAGTTCATACGGTGAACAAATCATTAGATGCATGGCAAGCTCTACAACTTTGCTGAAATTAAAAGCCAAGTATTGTTTTTGAAAAAAGGATGTTAATATGAGCATGGCGATAAGACTGGCACATTTCTTGCCAAATCCCTTAAAGAAACTAGTCTTGCTACAAATATCCTCACAATTAGGAAATATCCTCGCAATTGGGAATTAAAACGGTCAACTAGATAGTGGGTTGCTGGACTTTAAACACTACTATTCTTCCCACTTTGCTAGAATCATAGACTAGAATTGCCATGGGGTCAGCAAAGACTGGGTGACATTGCCCACTTGCCTTTAAAATATTCCCCTTGAGTACTCTGGGAAAAGTGCTCTAGTATTTTGAAAAAAATCTCCTCTTCTCCAGGTCCTTTGACCCCACTTGCAGACAATCCAGACTTTCCTCCTGGTTTGGGAACTACAGTGCCATGGTCAGGAGATCACACACATTTATTAATTAGACATTTTGTACACAAGGGTAAATTAAAAACTTATTGTAGGCTATTAAGTGAGTTAGACAAACACTCTCTTTCTTACTGGACCTAGCGTCAATTACACAAGATACATTTCTTCTTCCACTCAGAGCGACCTTTTGAGATCGCTGTCACCTTTGGAATCTGTTTTCCTGAAGGGCACCAGAGTAGAAATAACCACTTCTTTGGTGTACTCTTGGTTATACCACCTGAATGTGGAGGATAAAGATAGGTTTATAGAACTATGGGAATCAACCTTACATACAAAATTTAAAGATGATCAGTGGGAACATGCTTGCATCTTGGCACATAAGTGATTCATTAGCACAGGCCTACAGGAATCATCATACAAACTTCTAACACATTCTTACACAAAACCAGTTAAGCTTAAACAGTGGTTCCCGCAGTACTCAGATCTGTGTTGGTGATGTGGACAAGAAAATGGCACTTTGCTGCATATTTGGTGGAAGTGCCTTTGATACTCCCTTTGATACTCCCTTTCTGGCGGAAGATTTTTGAGATGATACAACTTACACCCACATGCTGCTTTTTACACATTTCAAATTATTCTTTACAGAAGTAGAAAACGCTCGCTAAGCAGTCATTTACTATCGGCAACCACATCATTAATCCCAAGACATTAGAAATCAACATAAAACCTGACAGTTAGGGATTGGATTCATAATGTCGACAATATATATGATATGGAGAAAACTTTGGCTATTGCCAAAGAATCATTTGAGAAGTTTCATAAAACCTGGATAGCCTGTTATCTATCAGTATTTAGAGGAGTATGATGATTTAGTTTATACTTGAGCGCATGTTAGAATTTGTTTACTAGATTTGCTACAGTTAGTTCGGTGATATGATCCCCCCACCTTTCTGTTTGCTTGAAAGGCCCAACACCTTCCTATTCTGTTTTAGTCAAAGACAGTTTTGACAGGCGAATCCCTTCTGCAAAGCCATTGTATTCTCCCAGCGGGGACAGCTCCCTCGCTAAAAATAATTGCATGTAAAATCCGACAGGCTGGTTGTACCCAAGCTGATCGATCAATCAGCTTGGGTATGTTAAGCCTGCCCATACATGGTTCCAATTTCTGCTGCTTCCTGCTGAACCAGCCGAGATGTGAGCTGTCTATGGCCGGTTTTAGTTCTCACTGTTCTTCTTAGATAACATCTTTAAGCATGATTCATTTGCTGCAATTATACAAATTACATGCTTACTACATAGATGTTTTTGACTAATATCACTGCATTTATTGATATGTCTCATGACATTGACTGTTACGCTATGGACACATTCAATATGTTATGCACAAGTGGATGTTAACTGTATTTCTGTATTTCTTTCTCTGTAATGCTTGAATTTAAAATAAAACTATATTGTGAAAAAAATATGTTATATTGGTTTTTAAAACTCAGATGTGTAAGCCGTTTGAAGGATCTGTGATACCTTTTGAAATGTTAATCAGTAGCAACTTGACAAATAGCTTGCCTTAATTAATATCCTTCCTGTATGTCTCTTCAGCATAACTTTTCTACTATATTACAGTTCTTTGGCCATGCTGATCTAAGAATATAAGCATTTAAAGAAAAATTATCATTACATTCCACTCAGGGGCGGACTGACAACTCATGGGGCCTCCAGGCAATAGGGGATCATGGGGCCCCTGTGTCCTTGCCCAAACTCAAAAAAGCCTATGAAAAAGGTACCAGGGGCATCTCATGGGGCCCCCTACTGACCCCGGGCCCTCGGGCAGTTTCCAAATGGTCAGTCGCCCCTGATTCTACTGTTCTGTCCCCATTAGACAAAGTAAATGCAATACTTTACTACTTTGTTCCATGTTGTTAGGTGCTTCCTAACCATGAGTTCGGACAGGACAAACATTCCTGTGGCTGTTCAACCACATAACTAGAAAAGAGAAAGCTGCTTCAGAATGACCCCTTGTCTCCTCCAAGCACTTTCCTGTGACAGGTAGTAGCAAGAGTGGATGGTAAGCTAACATCTCCTTCCTCCGCACTTATTTTGCTGTTGTTTGTCTCAGGAAAATACTTTGAGATGATTCAAGCACTGTTTCCTTCCTAGCTATTTTGTCTAGGTACTGTTGTGTTCAAAATAATAGCAGTGTGTTGAAAAAAGTGAACAAAGCTCAAAATCCTTCTAATAGCTTTTATTTCCATACACACAAATGCATTGGGAACACTACACATTCTATTCCAAATCAAAACATGAAGAAAAATATATCAAATTTGTGTTGTTCCTCTAAACAAATTGAAGAAAAGTGAATATTAGACTGTTCAAAAAAATAGCAGTGTTTGTATTCTTCTTTACAAACTCAAACATTCACTATATAAACTGAAAAATGTTTGAAGATTTTGCTTTCCTTTGAATCACTTAATTAATATTTAGTTGTATAAGCACTGTTTCTGAGAACTGCTGTACATCTGTGTTGCATGGAGTCAACCAACTTCTGGCACCTGTGAACAGGTATTCCAGCCCAGGGTGATTAGACTACATTCCACAGTTCTTCTCTATTTCTTGGTTTTGCCTCAGAAATGGCATTTTTGATGTCACCCCACAAGTTTTCTATTGGATTAAGATCCGGGGATTGGGCTGGTCACTCCATAACATCAATCTTGGTCTGGAACCAAGATGTTGCACGTTTACTGGTGTGTTTGGGGTCGTTGTCTTGTTGGAGCACCCATTTCAAGGGCATCTCCTCATCAGCATAAGGCAGCATGACCTCTTCAAGTATTCTGATGTATTCAAACTGATCCATGATCCCTGGTATGCGATAAATCGGCCCAACACCGTAGTATGAGAAACATCCCCATATCATGAAGCTTGCGCAACCATGCTTCACTGTCTTCACAGTGTACTGTGGCTTGAATTCAGTGTTTGGGGGTCATCTGACAAACTATCTCTGGCCACTAGACCCAAAAAGAACAATCTTACTTTCATCAGTCCACAAAATGTTGCGCCATTTCTCTTTTAGGCAGGTCAATGTGCTCTTTGGCAAATTGTAACCTCTTCAGCACATGTCTTTTTCAACAGTGGGACTTTGTGGGGGCTTCTTGCAGATAGCTTGGCTTCACATAGGCGTCTTCTAATTGTAACAGTACTCACAGGTAACTTTGGACCTTTGATCTTCCTGGAGCTGATTGTTGGCTGAGTCCTTGCCATTTTGGCTATTCTTCTATCCATTCGAATTGTAGTTTTTCGCTTTCTTCCACGTCTTTCAGGTTTTGCTTGGCATTTTAAAGCATTTGCGATCATTTTAGCTGAGCAGCCTATCATTTTCTGCACTTCTTTATATGTTTTCCCCTCTCCAATCAACTTTTTAATCAAGGTACGCTGTTCTTCTGAACAATGTCAGGAACGACCCATTTTCCTCAGAATCTCAGAGAGAAATGCACTGTAAACAGCATGCACAAACTTTGCTGCCTTCCTTCCTTAAATAAGGGCAATAATTGCCACCTGTTTTTCAAAGAATGAATGACCTCACTAATAGAACTCCACACTGCTATTATTTTGAACATGCCCAATTAGTGATTCAATTACACAGAATCAGCAGCATGCATGTCATGACTGTTGGGTCTGTTGGATTTCTATTACTCTACTACACCTGTTAGTAAATTATTTGCCATGTAGAAATATCATTTCTACCAAAAACAGTGATTGATCAGGTTAGTGATGTCTGACTGCTATCATTTTGAACACAACTGTATATACACTATATTGTCAAACGTATTGGGACACCCCTCCAAATCATTGGATTCAGTGTTCCAATCACCTCCATGGTCACAGGTGTATAAAATCAAGCGCCTAGGCATGCAGACTGCTTCTACAAACATTTGTGAAAGAATGGGTCGTTCTCAGGAGCTCAGTGAATTCAAGCACGGTACCACCCATAAGTCCATCCATGAAATTTCCTTGTTACTAAATATTCCACAGTCAACTGTTAGTGGTATTATAACAAAGTGGAAGCAACTGGGAACAACAGCAACTCAGCCATCAAGTGGTAGGCCACGTAAAATGACAGAGTGGGGTCAGCACGTGCTGAAGTGCACAGGGCACAGAAGTCGCCAACTGTCTGCAGAGACAATAGCTAAAGACCTCCAAACTTCGTGTGGCCTTTAGATTAGCATAGCAACAATGCATAGAGATTTTCATGGAATGGGTTTTCCATGGCCCAGCAGCTACATCCAAGCCTTACATCACCAAGTACAATGCAAAGTGTCAGATGCAGTGGTGTAAAGCACACCCTTACTGGACTCTAAAGTGGTGGAGACGTGTTCTCTGGAGTGACAAATCATGCTTCCGTCTGGTAATCTGATGGACGTGTCTGGGTTTGGCGGTTGCCAGGAGAAGGGTACTTGCCTGAATGCATTGTGCCAAATGTAAAGATTGATGGAAGGAGCATTATGATGTGGGGTTGTTTTTCAGGGGTTGGGCTTGGCCTCTTACTTCCAGTGAAGGGAACTCTTAAGACATACCAAGATATTTTGGATAATTTCAAGCTCCCAACTTTGTAGGAACAGTTTGGGAATGGCCCCTTCCTGTTCCAACATGACTGCACACCAGTGCACAAAGCAAGGTCCATGAAGACATGCATGAGCGAGTTTGGGGTGGAGGAACTTGAATGGCCTGCTCAGAGTCTTGATCTCAACCCAATAGAACACCTTTGGGATGAATTAGAGCAGAGACTGTGAGCAAGGCCTTCTTGTCTGACATCAGTGCTTGACCTCACAAATGCGCTTCTGGGAGAATGGTCAAACATTCCCATAGACATACTCCTAAACCTTGTGGACAGCCTTCCCCGAAGAGTTGAAGCTGTTATAGCTGCAAAAGGTGGGCCAACTCAATATTGAACCCTACGGACTAAGACTGGGATGTCATTAAAGTTCATGTGCATGTAAAGACAGGTGTCCCAATACTTTTGGCAATATAGTGTATATCTGTGATCTACCAAGCCCTCCTGGCAATAAAACAAAGGGGTCCCTTTAAATGCAATAGGATAGCAGAGTGCTAGAATGTTAATGTTCCTGATGTGTAATGTTCTGATGTCTTCTGATAGTAAACGGTGGGGCCCTTATTTTGAATGTAGGATTGAACAGGCTTGGATTAACCGCTTGCCCGCAGCCCCATAGCAGATGTACTGCTACAGGGGGGCTTCGCTGAGCAAAATCACATAAATATATGTGATTTTGCAGTTCCAGGTAGGGCTCCTGAGGATGTCATTTACTGGGTCCCGGCTGGCGATTTTCGTCCGGGACTCGGTGATCATCGGCAAAGCCGAAAAAAGAGAGAACAGTGTGTAAACAACACAGATCTCTCTCCTGTCAGCATGGACCTGCTGCTTTCTATCTCTCTGCACAGTTGAGAGATAGAAAGCAGTAGGTCTGCTTTGTACAACACAACACAGTACACAATAAAATCACTCCCTAACACCCAGCCAAACTTTGATCGACTCAGATCTTAACCCCTTCCTGCCCAGTGTCATTATACAGTGTCAGTGATTTTATTTTTATTAGCACTGATCACTTTATTAGTGGTACTGGAGGTATCAGTTGCAGTTAGTCAGTTCTCCCCCCAGTGTCAGATTGCCCGTTGCTGTCCCATAGTCCCAATATAAGTTGCTGATCGCCGCCATTACTAGTATAAAAAAAAAAATTCCAGTGTGTATATATACCGCCATTTGTAGGCGCTATAACTGTCACGTAAACCAATATACACTTATTGGGATTTTGTTTAGCAAAACATGTAGCAGAGTACATAGAAATAAAATATGCAGCGCTTTTAAAATTAAATATGAACAAGCAGAAAATCAGAACATTATAACTGCATGACAAACTCAGTCCATATTGCATGGTGCGATAAAGTGATAGGTGCAATTGTCCCAATAATCCATGTTCAGAGAAAATTCGTGACTCTTGTGATCTCGTGATTTGTACAAAAAAATGCACTAACCAGATAGCGCAATAAATGCGCATGGAGCAATTAAGACCCGCTCCTGGTGCTCTGGACTTGTAATATTAGGAGGATGTCATCTGCGCCACCAGATGTCATCAATCCAGGTATATTGGTAAGTCAAACCACCAGAGAGATCATCAGCGGGGGAGGGGTGATCATACATCATTCCCAATAGGCGTAACCTTCAAAAACGGGCTCCCATAGATGAGACCCAGAGAAGCCTCTGATAGTGTAGTATGTCTTTAATAGGTAACACTTACTTACAATGGGAAAAAACTTACATCAAAGCAAAGTCTGGCCACCAGGGCGTCAGTCAGGATGGCCTTGTGGTATGGATACAAAGGTCAGGGGCACCTCCCTTAGGTTTTTTCCTTTTGTACTTGGTGTTACCTATTAAAGAATACTACACTATCAGAGGCTTCTCTGGGTCTCATTTTGTATGGGAGCCCGTTTTTGAAGGTTACGCCTATTTGGGAATGATGTATGATCACCCCCTCCCCCGCTGATGATCTCTCTGGTGGATGACTTACCAATATACCTGGATTGATGACATCTGGTGGCCAAACCTGCAGATGACATCCTCCTAATATTACAAGTCCAGAGCACCAGGAGCGGGTCTTAATTGCTCCATGCGCATTTATTGCGCTATCTGGTTAGTGCATTTTTTGTACAAATCACGAGATTACAGTCACGAATTTTTTCATGGATTATTGGGACAATTGCACCTATCACTTTATCGCACCATGTTGCAATGACTGAGTTTGCATGCAGTTATGTCATGTTCTGATTTTCTGCTTGTTCATATTTAATTTTAAAGCGCTATACACAAGGTTACCTTTTAAACTAGCTGCTTCACTTATATGTTCCAGCGCTCTATTACCTAAAATGTAGCAGAGTACATTTTGGCCTAAATTTATGACAAAATTTTTATTTTTTAAATTTTCTTATGGGATATGTTTTTATAGCAAAAAGTCAAAAATAGTTTTTTTTTCAAAATTGTCAGTCTTTTTTTGTTTATAGCGCAAAAAATTTAAAACGCATAGCTGATCAAATACTACAGAAAGAAAGCTCTATTTTGTGGGGGGAAAAAAGTTACATACATTTTCATTTATGTACAATGTTGCATGACCGTGCAGTTGTCAGTTAAAGTAACACAGCGCCATATCGCAAAAAATAGCCTGGTCAGGAAGGGGGGTAAATCTTCTAGAGGGTTTAACCGTTTCAATACCGTGCAATTTTACACCTTCCTGCCCAGGCCATTTTTCAGGTTTCAGCGCTCTCACACTTTGAATGACAATTGCGCGGTCATACAACACTGTACCCAAACTAAAATTTTATCATTTTCTTCACACAACTAGAGCTTTCTTTTGGTGGTATTTAATCACCGCTGGGGTTTTTATTTTTTGCTAAATTAACAAAAAAAGACCAAAAATTTTGAAAAAAAAACACATTTTTCTTTGTTTCTGTTATAAAAGTTTACAAATAAATAATTGTTCTTCATAAATTTAGGCCGAGATGTATTCTGCTACATGTCTTTGGTGAAAATAACCCAAATTAGGATGTATTATTTAGTTTGTAGGAAAGTTATAGAGTTCACAAACTATGGTATATATCTGAAAATTGATCAATCCTGAAGTACTGACAGCCAATCTAATATCTTGAGGTCCAAGAATGTCAGAACAGTACAGATATCTCCAAATGACCCCTTTTTGCAGAGTAGACAGTCCGACGTACTTCATAAGAGGCATGGCGAGTTTTTTGAAGTTGTATTTTTTTTGTCATAATTTTTCGGAAAATGAAAAAATTTAAAAAATTATTTTCACACTTTTTTTTTTTTTTACATACTGTCACCAGTGCAGTACAGCATCATCATATAACTGGCATGGCGGTGAACAGGGACACTGACTGGTGACAGTATGAAAAAATATATATATATATATATTTTTTTTATTTTTTTAAATTTTTTTATTATTTTTAATTTTTTATTACATTTTTTTAAATTTTTTTTAAGATTTTTTTTTCATATTTTACTATGACCAAAGTAGTACAATGTTACCATAGTAACATTGTACTACTTTGGGGAAGTGATCAGTATTTTTTTTTTTTTTTTTTACACAATTTTCTTATAGCAAAGAATTACTTTGCTATAAGCAAGCATTTACCTGAATGAAATCGATTCATTCAGCTTTTTTTTTTTTTTGTGCTTAGCTGTGATTTGGTCACAGCTAATCACATGACATGTGCATGTGATTAGCTGTGACCATTCACAGCTAGGCACTAGTATACAATGGATGGCATGAATGAAGCCATCCATTGTATACAACTGTCATGTGACCTGCTGTGATTGGTCACAGCAGGTCACATGGTACCAGCAACGGGAGCCGGTACTCGGATCTGTCATCGGCCGTGTCCGAGGTGCACGGCCGGTGACAGATCGCGCTGCTGCGCCGCTCTGCATTAGCGCAAACTGCGCATGTGCGGGAGCACGCCAAATGGCGTGCACCCGGAGTGCAGCATCACTTTTGAAGCCGCCAAACGGCCATTGGCCGGGTAGCTAATGGTTAAACAGCATTCACTAGGTAGGATCCAGTAGATTGTATTCTGTAAAGGGCAGATAGGTTAACAGTGATAGCATCAAACAGGTATGCTCTGATATACAAGCAGGGAAGTGTTGGCTGCATGCAGTGTCTATACTGTGTTAATGAATGTTGGGCTTGCACTCGCTCACCACTGATCTAGGAGATGACACAACCAAAATCTTCAGTGGTGGAACAGGCTACTGGCAGAGTAGAGTGTTACTGGATTGCCTCCTGACAACCGATCAGGACAGCGGGTAGCAAAACTTGCCAGGTGACTAGCAGCTGTACTGGGTGATGCGGGCTGTCAAGCAGGATCACTGCGCTGAACAGCGGTGAGCTATGGCCTAGTCCTGAGGGGGCACACTCCCCTCCGCCCAGCTCCAAATCCCCATGTCAAGAGCTGCAGCTCAGCTGTTGAAGAAATATATATCCGCTTCCCCAGATTGCCCTTCGGTTTCTTTCCTTCTGGTAAGTGTAGTCCAGACCATTCTGAAGAATACAGTACACAATGCACAGACATACCATCAAGGAACATAAAGAAGATAACTTTTGCACACCTGTGGGACACCATTTCGCACAACCAGACCACATTATGGAAGACCTCAATGTTTTAGTTCTGAAAGGAAATTTCAAATCCATTCAGGAAAGAAAAACTTTTGAACTAAGAATGATAATTCTATTTGACACAAGAGATAAGGGCCTTAATTTGAACATGGGATTCCTCAAT